AGATTAAATGGTATATTTTTCATATATACAAATATATATTATTTTACAAAATTTAATTTGCATGATACTTAGATTAAATGTAAGCATTTTTTTGATGTAAATCAAACATTTTTGAGATTATCGGTTCTTTCAAACTTATTTGAGTTCGCCAAAACTAAAAAAAATACCGCATTAGTATATAAAAATCTTTATAAAAAAAAAACAACTAGAGTTTAAAGCGAGAAAATATGGTATTAGAGTTACAACGAAAAAGTATTATTTCGGCTGAAAATTTATGGTTTTGTAAAATCTATAAATTTTGAAATTGTTTTATAACATTTTAAATTATATCGTATTTACATGATTGTTTTGAATTTTTGTTTCAAAGTCTTGAGATAGCTAAGTGCATTAATTTTTTCCCCCAAATTTTGTCTAGCCACTCTTATAGTCATCTGTCTCTCTGCGGCATCGGCTTTCTCAAAATTTTCATATCTTATTCGATCATTCGATCTCTTGCAGAGATATTCTCCAATACTTAAATCAAAGTAATTCGAAAGTTTGTGGTTATGAATTCCTTCTACGTTATTTTTTTCAATTGTTAAATTTTCATTTCTTTTATTATAGGGGACACGGTTGTTTCTTAAAATTTGGAATGCACATGTGCTGCACACTTAGTCTTTTTTTTTTATAAAAGGACAACAACAAAAAATATAGAGTTTTAAAATGACACGATTGTGTTCTTCGAATTAGATTATAATTTGTATGACCCTCTTAAAAGGTAACTAATTGCTAAATGTTTATCTTATCTAGAGATAATAAAAGGAAAACAAAAAGTTCATGATGACACGATTATATGTTTCCAATTGAGAAAGAAATGTAATGTACTAAATATTTATATCATAATAACATCCTACAGGATACAACTATTTCCTTTTCTTTTCATTTGTATTGAGTCTTATTACTATATAGTTTTCCTTACGCAAAATATGTGTTTTATTATTAATCAGCTGAATTTACAAAAAAATAATATTAAAATGTGGAGAGATATGGGTCAATTGCAAAAATGTCATTTTTGGTGTGTACATTTGCAATAATACCATTTAAAGATATTCATTTGTAAAAATGCCACTAATTATAGATTTTTAAAACCTAAATCTTAAAACTATAAACCCTAAAAAATGTGTTGACCCGTAATACCGTTTTAAACCTTCAAAACTAAATCATAATACAACATAATTAACCCAAATATAAATGATATAATGAAAAAATAATTTTGAAAAAGTGATTTTTTGCAAAAATTTTGAAAAGGCTGCATTTTTAAAAAGTGGCAGAATTTTTTAAAAATTTTCGAGAGATATTAAGATGAATGATTCACGTGGGAATTTCCAAAATATCTTGAAAGGAGGAGTAGTTTATTTTTGTTGTGTTCCCTTATGTGGTTCTCAGCTTAGAGAATATGCGATAACGTTAACTCCCANGTCCATTGAAATTGGAATGTGAATAAAATAAAAAATAAAAAAATTGGAGCTCATAACAGAGTGTAACAAAGAAGAAAACAAAACTAGTAAAAAGTGAAAAGGCATAAACAATATAGAAATTGTCAATAAAAAGGGCTCATTTTGTGACAAGAAAGAAAGAAAATTAAAGCATCACTTCTCCTCTCTCGAGCTCGAGGCTTCAGCTTTAGAGCAACAATGTCTCTATATCTGAAGCCCTTCATCTTTCTATACGACTCCACTCTTAGCCTCCTCTTGCTTCTGGTAACACATTCATAACTCTCTCTTTTATATCTATATATATGTATAGTACATGTAATTGTTGTGACAATAATTGATTAATAGTAATTTCTCATGCATGATGAATTAGTTTAATGGATGGAGTCTTGAACATCCAGCAGCAGCCCAAATGAGGCTTCAGGCAGAAAACAGTGCTGCAAAGTCTGAGTGGAAGCAACTGCAATATGTGTGGTTAAAAACTAGGACTCTTGTACTACTTCCCATTTTCAAGGGTTGTGTGGTTATGTGTTTGGTTTTATCTATCATAGTATTCGCAGAGAGCTTTTACATGAACTTTGTCATACTCATCGTCAAGTTATTTAGACGTAAACCCGAGAAAGTGTACAAATGGGAAGCCATGCAAGAAGATGTCGAGGTTGGACCCGGAAACTATCCAGTGGTTCTTGTCCAAATACCAATGTTTAATGAAAAAGAGGTATATATATACTCTCTACGTTATATATAATGACATTTGCTACGAATTATATAACGACGATTTGATGCGTATATATATATATATAATTTTACGCGTTGTAGGTCTTTCAGTTATCAATAGCATCAGTATGCAGTTTGTTATGGCCACCGAGCCGTCTAGTAGTTCAAGTTGTAGATGACTCTACGGATCCGGCCGTGAGGGTAAGTAGCTTGCTCGAATACATAACACATATATTACTCAAATAGATGTTAGACAAAAATAAAATCAGAAAAACAAATATAATTTTGTACGGTTATAAAAATCGGCTGATTAGACGGCCCACTCGATTAGAAGGTTGGTCAACAGCGAATCAAATGATTTTTGGGCCAAGGGGGTTCGATCAATATAATTACATTATTTTGAAAACTATTA